TGCTCTAGAAAGGCATCTAGGTAGAGTGCCGTAGAGAGCTCTCTAAATAAAGAGTAAGAAAGACTCCAGTGGAAAGCTCACACTCACACAACACAACAGACAAAACTAACACAAACGCATGCATTTTTGTAGATGCAGGCATATAGGCATGTGTGGTGGACATCATCATGATCACAAGCCACTGTCTCGATACACCCAGAACCCTAAAGATATAATCAGAAAAATGGTTGGCGTTAAATTACATTGGATTGGAGAAAATAACACTAATTCAATGATGTGTTTGGTGTGTTTTAGTGCTAAACATGATTAAGGGGTTTGACTAATTAAAATATGCTTATTATATTATTAGACATAATCTCATCCAACTTAATCCTACTACATTCGGCCGTACTAGCAAGATTAGACATAATCCAATCTATGTTGTTTTTAGGCTACCAAACATCTAACTAAGATAATAAATCGTACCCAATCATATAATCCAGCCCACCGAACACGCCTTAACTTAGTATGATCCATGCATTAGAAATCAAAAGGGTAATCAAGATCTTTTAGTTTCACTAGTAGGAAGGACATCATAGAAAAAAGAAGGGAGAGACAAATATGGAATTATCAGAGCATTTCATTATGTAAGCAATTCAGCAATGTTCATCAACATGCATATGGTGGGTCCCAATTTCCCAGTTCGAGTTGCCGACAGCATGGTTGTCATGTACTTAACAGGTTTATCATGGATGAAATGATAACTGCAAAGAAGTCAACTCATAATGAGGAGCAACTCAAATTCCCAAATCTTATCAATTCAGAGCAAATTGTAACGGCATAGGATTCTCAAGCACTTTTTAAAACAAAACATTCCCACAATTTTTTTCAAGTTAGGCTATGATTAGGGGTGTGCCTATGTGTCCTATAAATATACTTTTTTTCTTGCTTATAAAAACCCCCCTTGCCACAGCAAACATCCTATAATTCCTATTCACTTTAGCATGCATCATCAGCTGAAGCTCAACATGAGAAGACAAACTCCCATTCATCTTCTCCTTGTATGGCTCCTGCTTGCAGCTTCTCAATACCACTACACTATTAATGTTCAAGCTATTGAAACAGGTAAGTCAGCTACTATATATCTCCTATTTTTATTGATGATGTCAGAAAATAATGTAGCAAACATTTTAACAAAATTCATATCATTAAAAAGAAAAAGAAAAAAGAATGCAGCTGAGCAGTTACCTTGTTTCCTTCAATATTTAATAAATGTTAGCTTTCTTTGTTCCTGGCCACAGTTCAGTTCAAGCACAATTCTGCACAGCCTGGCTCAGGGTTGGGGTCCGGAACCAGATATGTTTTACCTACTTGGGTGTGTATAGAGCTTAACCAGCATTCATGTACTTAATGTCAGATGATTTTACCTTGACTCTTTGCATCTTTGTTCAACAATGAAAAACAGGTCAGTGGAAGGAAGATCCATAAAACTCCATCAGGTCCCAACCCAGTAGGGAATCATCGCCCACCATCGAAGCAATGAACATTTGATGTACTTGTTCTTAACTTAGTATGTAGAACTAATCAGATCATTATATTTGTTGGAGGCTAGAAAGGAAGGTCAGTGTTATTCATGTAGGTCAAAAAAACCTCTCCTCTGAGGAATGTGGGTGTACAAAAATTGGAATTTAGAACATTTGAATTCTAGAAGCTTTTGTGCATGAGCAAATTTGTTAGTGTAGTTGTTCCATAATCAAAATCTTCAGTAAAACTGTTTAACGTAAATACTAATCCTGGAATTACAAGAAAAAAGAAGACACCTTGTAAG